ATTTTCAAAAGCATGAAAGTTGCTCCTAGGGCAACTTTCATACTTCAATATTTTGTATAAAAGTTGTTTATCTTGCTGGCAAAAAATATAAAAATGTCATATAGGTACATACTTGGCTTATTTGTATGATGCATTTACCTTTTTCATCGTCATAAAATATGTTAAAAGTCATTTTCTTGATTTTTTAAAAGCCATAATAATTTATTGCATTATCTTATGGCACTATCAGTTGTCATCTTTAATATTCTGCTTAAGTTTTAATGTAATATTTTAAGGCTAATTTTTCTGTCTATTAGCTTAATGCATCTTCTACAATGCTCATTGTTGGATGTTGTTTTCATATGCAGGAATGAGCATCTGAGCACTGTTCAGCACCTTTCCGAGCTCCTCAGTTGTGGGATTGCCCAAGCCATGCAGATATTGATGAGAGAACTGATATTTGGTCGTTGGGGTGCACTTTATATGCAATAATGTAAGAACTAATGCTTATACATGCACTTATACAATGTTTGCTTTCTTTTAATGACCTTTTTATTGTTTTACTTTTTGTTTTTTTATTATCATTCATCAAGTTCTTTTGTTAAACAATATAGTAAGCAAAGTGTCTGAGCAAGTCTTGTGGCTGGAATCTCTTTATTGGTTTCCTTCTGGCTTAATCTAAGGAGTAGATTTTAAGTATTTGATGTGAAAGTTCTATAATGCTAAAACCAAGGCTATTGGTTTTTCATGTAGTTGTCCATTGGTGTCTAAGCCTTAGAAGATGAACACTAAAACACTTGAAATTATACAAATTCAAGCAATTCAGCAGTTTAAAGTAGCGTACAAAATCACACACAATGACTAGAAAGCATCTGGTCCTAAAATGAGTAGTCATGGCTTACCTAAACTTTTATGTAAAAAAAAAAAAAACCTTGTTTGCTTTAGTCTTCTTTTACCAATCTTATTTTGCTTTAAACTGAAGCAAAACACTCTAATGTGACTGTTCCATGCACAAATTCATTACTTTGTTTGCATCAAATTATTGTCATACTTTTTCGTGCTGATATTACTTTCTTTTCTAAAAATAAGATCAAATTATTGACATTGCTTTTCATGTTGATATAACTTTCTTTTCTAAAAATAAGACGAGATTTAACAGTAGCCAAAGTCACCATTGTGTAATTTTTTAGCTTAGTTCTGTGTTCCTCCTTTTCATGTATGTACTATTTGAAATCAAAACTTCAACATTTAATCATGATTCTTAAACTTGTTATATAAGACCTAATGCTTGTTTTTTCAATTTAAAGGTAAAAAAGGAAGGAGATATACCCATAATTGTAATAGTAAGTTATAGTCCATGTAAGTATACTCATTTATGTGTTTACTAAAACCTACAAATATACATAGGAACTCATTGAAAGGAGCCACAAACATGTGACAAACCTTTATTTACAGCCGAAAAGTCTGAAAAGAAACCTGAGAAGCTGGGGTCGACTCACCACTCGACACTCACCAATGCCAATTACCATAGGCCTTCTGCAGCTGGGATGGTGCTAACTAGAAAACCAGTGACTATACCGCATCGAAGAATAGTAGTAGTAGAATATGTTAATTTGGGTCTGTCAACCTGATTTTGCGACACCATGATTGCACATTTTACCTTCCCTTTTTAAGGTCAATTACCAAAGTTTGCAGGGCCATATCAGATACCTCTCACTTTTGAATCTAATCTTCTCATATCTGGGTCTTAATAAAGCTATCTCTGATCTTCTTTTTTCACGTATAAAAGTTACAAAGTGCATGGTAAGTAAAAAGAAAAAAAAATGAAAAACAAAGGCAGCTCATAGGAAAACAGGATTATTAGCGGCTTTTTAATAAGTGAACTTTATGCTGGAATTATTTTTGAGTGATTGATTCCTTATGTTTGTTTTTGGATTAGGACATCTCTTCTTTGTTGACAAGATTCGATTATAGTCATTATTATCAACTTATTTTCTTGGAACCTTGCATTACTAGCTGTGGGTGTTTGATTTTTTTTAGTCCTTTATATGAACAGAATATGTAAAGAAGGAAGATTGATTTGGTTGGTAGTTGTTGAGGGGCACTTATTTCCGATTCTGTCATTACATTCCAAGTATTGGTTAATGGATTAGGTACATGCAGCCAAAAAAATCTATCCGATGAAAGAACATACTATTTTGGGATGTCAAATCAAATTCTCTCCTAGATGCATTTTCAGGTCGGCATGGAAAGCAGACATTTTTATCTTCATATCTGGTAATATATTTCTAAGGGCTTCATGTTTTTGAATCCTTTTCAGTTCTTTGCTTCAGATGAGAGGATAAAGGCTGTCAGAAAGATGATAATGGCAGTAACAGCAGAACCGAGGAAAGCAGCTCTTAACCTCTTACTTCCTTATTAGAGATCTGACTTTGAGGAAATTATCTGTGCAATGGATGGTACTTCTGATCTTTTGTGCTTCTTTTAGAGCATGTGTGCTTCTTTTACTGTGTGATGTCAACCTGGTTGGAGCTTTGTTGGCGTGTAATATTTGCATAGAATATCTTATTGCCCCTTTTTGGTTTACATCTCTATTGAGGAGTGTGAATTTCATTTTAATTCCAGGCCTTCCAGTAACAATCCGATTGTTGGACTCCCCACTTCATGAATTTCTTCCAGAGGGTGACTTAGAACAGATTGTAAGTGAATTAATTAACTTCAAAGACTGGCACGACCGAAGATGAAGTTTCTCAAGAATTGAAAATTTATCTGAAGTGAATCCTATGGCAATGGCATAGTGAAATAAAATCTTTTAAGTGATGGATTCTATGCTTAATATATTTTGATTATGACAACAAATTTCATTTCTTATCTGAATCTTTTGAAATAGTTTGATTTCTGATTTACATCAGAGTGTATGCAAATAATGAATGAAGCACAAGAAAGCTCCAAATGGAGCATAGGTTGGATTTGGAACCTTTTCTTCATTTTTCAGGTTGTGAATGAAAAAGCCAATGTGCGGGAAAATGCCATCATCACGGTAGCAGATAATGGAGGTCATGACAGTTGCATCACTGAACCACCAACTTACAAATCTTTTTCTTCTTATTTTGATGTGTGTGGTTGTTGAGTCACTTGATATTTCATTGCCTATTTTATTCTGCTGTGTTTTTAACAAGTAGTTTCATATTCTTTGCCTCTTTACTTCTTCTAATCCAATGAATCTGGTTGTTGACAGAACAAAACTGGCACATAGTTTGCTGTCTGGTAAATATTATGTTCCTGCGTCAGAGGTACACTGACTATATAAATACTCTGTTTGCCATAGTCCAGTTGGTTTTTTACTGATTAATGAATTAATCGATTAATTGTCTGGTCCTTCAGAAAGATGGAATTGCTTCACCCCCAATAACAGATGATGTAAGCTTCCCGTTGTATACTCTGCTGAGTTTGTTCTGATCTTGGAGATTCTTAGATGATATCCCTGAATTACCAAATATATTGTTATATAATTATACTTGCAACCTAGAAGTTTCTAAGTAGGCATAGGTTTAATAATAGAATTTGTGCTATGCAATTTTAATATGCTTAACACAATTGTTTGTCTTAAATTATTGATAATTTTATATAATTTTCACTCTCGCAGCAAAGCTCAAGTTTGAAAGCTAGTATATACATAATATATGGCTAAAATGATAAAATGGCAGGAAAAAACCAAAACAAAACAAATTTGAAGGCAACCGATTATCGCTATTATTGTTCCAATACTTAATATTTTCTCTTGTTTGTCTTCAAATCCACCAATAATAATTATTTTTCCCTAAAGTGCAGCTGAAATGACCTTATTATTAAATCTTGAAAACTCAACTCCAAAATATATTTACACATACATGGTATGACAATTATATTATATATATATATATTAGGATTATAAACGATTTAAATATAAATGAATAAATATATTTTTATGATTTGTTCATTTATTTTTAGAAATATTTGAGTTTGGTTCGTATTTGATAAGAAAATTATTTTATTTGTTTGCTTTAATTCGTTTAAATGATAAGATATTAACATATTAACATTTGATTCATATTTTGTTCAATTAAGTTAAACAAGTTTATTTATGAATATTAGATGAACATATTCAGGAATAAATGAATATATTTATAATAATAAATAAATCATAATTAAATAAATTTAATATAAATAAATTTTAAAATAAGATTAAGATAAAAGATAAAATTATAATTTTATTAATACTATTACAAATGAATAGTAAATAAACAATAAATAAATAATAAACAAATATATTTTAAACGAATTTGTTTATAAATATAAACGAATCGAGTAAATTTTTATTCGTGTTTGATTCATTTAATAAAAGAACATAAAAATATTGTTTAAAATTATTTATTAATTTTAATAAATGAATAAAAATTAAATATGTTTATGAACAGTGCGTTGAAAATTCTATTTGTTTACATTCTTCATTCTCACAACATGTCTATACATTAACACTAAATAATCATTGTAATAAAATACATGTATCAATAATGTATTTTATGTAATTTATTTCAAATCACTTGATCATTAAAGATTATACATTTGATTCATTCTAAATAATATGTATAATTATAAGAGATTATATAATATAATTTATTTTAAATCATAAAATTATTATAATATCCATAACCTATTTGAAAAAGTGACACTTTGAAATCTAAATAAGTTTTTTCATTGGAAATTAACCAAATAACTACTTTTATTTTTCTTTAAATTATCAACAATATTTCAATCAACAACTCAAACATCAAAAAAAAAATTTTCATTTAATCACTTTTATACCTCACTTAACCTTTGGATTTTAGCCCAAACACGCGAGTCAAAGCCTCAATTGGCAATGAATTGGAGTGGGTTCCGGGTCGGGTCGGTATTGGTCGGATCGGAAAACAGTTCCTCATTTCCTTCTTTTGTCTTTAAGTTATTTTCTTCTTTGTTTTTTTCCCCCCTTTCTCCTTCTTCCGAAACTCACCGTTTGGTGCCCCTTGTTAAAGAAACAAATTAAAATTTCCCCTTCATTTTTTCCGTTTCCTCTCTCTCCCATCGCCTCCTAACTCTCTCCTTCTTTCTCTTAAACTCAGTCAACGCTGCCCCGATCCAACGGCCGCCGTCACCTTCCGCACCACATTCTTCTCTTCAAATCAAAACCTGAAAATTTGTTTTACAAAAAGACTAAAGAAACAAGCTAGTTTTATTTAATTTTAATTCTTTGTTTGTTCTCTTTTTTATTTGATTTTCAAAATCAAAATGGCAACAGCAGCGGCAACAACGACAACAACAACAACAATTTCTCAGCTGTCTTGTTTCTCTTCAATCAACCGGAAATTACAGCTCTATCATCGATCAAGTTTTCGTCCATTTTCTCGTCCCAAGGTAATTATAAATTTTAGATTAATGATTCTAATTGAAATGTATGGGTAATAAGTTGCTTAACACGTTGATCCTTGCCTTATTTATGTGTTTCGATTTCCATTCTACATTGAAATAAACTAAAAAACTTGTAATATTGCTCTTTTCTCTTATTTTGTTGGGATTAATTGACATTAGTGATTAATCTGTTTTCTATTATATGGTTAATTGTTTTAGATTCTGTTTTTTTTACTTTTATTGCTCAATTTTTTATTTTAAAGTTGCCTTTAAGGAATTAAAGCTTAAAAATTTTAACTTTTGTGAATAACAAAGAGTAATACTGTTTGGCATGAGCATCTTGCTTAGTTAATCAGTGCATGATCTCCTCCTCAAAAGAACAGGTTCAGATCCCCTTTCCCCAAATATATATATATATATATATATATTTATAGAAACGAAAAGGAGTAATGCTATTTGGATTGTTGTCTTATTCCACCTCAATGGAGTTTTTAAACTACGCAATTGGCGTTAAAAGTGTTGCATGTGTTCCATTAGAATAGTAGTTATTTTATCCGACAGTTGGACATCCGGATTACTCTCAAATGGCATGAAAAGTAATGAATAACAAGCACTCAGGTCTTTAACATTTCTCATAATGAAAAAGCATGAATTTACTTTAATTGAACAATTATGTTCAAATAATTATTCTCAGAATTAGATATTATTCTATTTTAACTATTTGTTTAGTTTAATTAAATATAATTTTCATTTATGCTCTTTGTTTGGCTTATTAGAAACTTTTAGGAAGTGAACAAAATAAATAGTAAAAAGTAAGTAGAAAAGCAACAACCAAATGAAGGCTTTCTTTTTCTTATTATTTTCATAAGTTTTCATGCTTTGATATTAGATTAGCAATTATGTTTAACTGTTTGAGGCAATTATATAATAATCATTCATTCTGCTCAAATATTAAGCATAAATGCAAATCAAACATAAAATCACAAAAAAGCAAGCAAATATTAGGGTTTGACAGTTTAATCTTATATTCTCAATATCTATATGAGTCTATGTGTATCTTTTTAAAGATTAAAGAAAATTGTTCATTGGAAACTGGAAAAGATACTAACTGCTTCAGTTTTCCAGTCATTTGTTGTAATGAGCGTTGATGGGCGTGGTGCAGAAGCTACTGGTTCCAAACTTAAAACCACACCAAGTTATGTGGCCGGGGAATCAAAACCATTTATAGAAGAGGTGCCTAAGTCATACCCAAATGCAGAAGGGCATTTTCCTGAAAATACAAGTGAGCCAGTAGAGGAAAATGGTATCATCCAACCGAAAAGGGCAGCAAAAATTCATGATTTCTGTTTCGGCATTCCTTATGGTAAGTGTAGAATAGGAGGCTCTGTTAATGTCTCTTTGCATGATACATGTTGAAATATTTACTGAATATGGTTTACATTGCTTGAAAAATCACTAGGTTGATCATTTATTTATTTGAAATTGCTTTCTCACAAGTATCCTTTTCTTCTTTTAAGTCTTCTTTCATGTCATTTTGTGGTTTTTGTATTATTTGTGCTTGTTACCGTATCAATTCATTTAAGACTTGGTAATCCTCTTATTATAGATTAATTGTCTCTTAAAGCGGCCTGCAAATGTTGTGTTTGTGTGTGTATGTTTCTTTTTTTTCTATGCTTGATCTTTATAGCATAGTTTCTCTTCATTTAATTTTTGTTCTTCAATGAATTATAACACAATCATATTCGCTTCTGAAAATTTGTAGTATTACTTGATTCAGGTGGTCTTGTTCTAAGTGGGGGGCTTGTTGGTTTTGTATTTTCAAGAAATCCTACTACCTTACTCTTTGGAGGTGCTCTGCTAGCCCTTAGCACCTTCAGCTTGAGGATATGGAGGCAAGGAAAATCAAGTTTACCATTCATACTCGGACAAGCAGGTATTTTGACTTTTCTATGCATTGAGGCATCCCCTGCAAGCAATTTATGGAAATGTCACCTTGTGATTTACAATTCTGTTTTATTGCTTATGGGAATGTTTGCTTTTGGGTGTGTATTTATTTATCATTTCGTGAAAGGAAAAGTTTAGTACCTAAATGAGAAGCCATTCTGTACAAACAGGACTTTGTTAGATAAGGATGCAGCAGTTCCCCTTCTCATTTAGTCTTTTAGTTAGAGAGCAACACATCTACTGAGGACCCATTCTATCTATTTGTTATAGAATACTCTTGAGCTGGAGTCTATCCGTACGCAACTGGCAAATCATGCTTTTATGAAGTCCATATTGTTGGCAATTTAATATTTATTGAGAGGAAAGGGGTTGGTATGCAAGACTGTGGCATTTTAGTGCAACAATTTGAAAAGGAAATGAACATTAAAACACAGTAAAAAGTTATTCCAAAAACTGGGGTCATCATGGTGGGTTACTGGGAATGGTATTCATCATGATTTGTAGAGTTGATGCAAAATTTGATAATTAGCCTGCCTTACACAAGTTGGAGTTTCAGTTTTTATTATAGGTCTATTGAATCAATGAGCAGTGTTGTTAGGTTTATAAACTACTTAGATATGAGGAAATTTATTGCTTAGAAGTTTAGTTAATCCACATGGATGACTATGCATCTTCAGGTCAAGCCTGAAATGCAATTAGACACAATCATTTTAGCCACGCAACTGTAGGCCACTGTATGATTATTTTTATGAGTCGGGGAATGCATTTTCCAATTGCCATAAAATAGTGAGACACTGATGTTTAGAAACTAGTAGGGCTCTAAACATCCCTCAATCATGTGAATGATAAGTCATATTATTAGCCCAAGATTTTTGGTATGTAAAAATACTAGACGAATGTACCTGGATTTGGTGAAATGCTTTCCTATAGCATAAAGTGGGTTTATAGTATAATATTACAAAGTGGTTGCAAGCAAGTTTTAGAACATAAAATGATTAATAGGAGAAATACGACATCAAAGAGGTGAAGGGTGGGGATCAGAGAGAAGAGAGATGAAATTCTATACAAATGTGAATTGTTGGAAAAATGTGAGCAAGCTGCTGATTTGAACTAAGAGAAGAGAGAAAGTGAAGTGGAGAAGAAAAGGACTGAAGGTGGTCATAGTTGGGCACAACAAAGACAAGAAATATGAAATATGAAATACTTTCTCGCATTTCTCAGTGAGAGCTGAAGTTTATATCAGTTTCAACATGATTAAGAGACGTTACCTTCGAAGGCCATGATTTTGCTGATATAAGGTGAAGGATGGGACCAGTGAGAGGTGAGGGTTACATTTGCCATAAACCTGAAAATCATTGCAAAAAGATTATTCCAATATTAGAGTAAAAGGAAAGGAAAAGAACACCGTGAAGGAGATCAAAAAAAGGTGAAGAAGAAATAGAGAAGAAAACAGATAGCAAAAGAAAAAAAAGTGAAGGCTGACAATTAAATTGAAAAAAGAAGGATAGAAAAAACATTGAAATCAATAGAGAAAGGAAGAATAGTAAATAAAAAGAGCATTTGATAGAAACGAATTTTACCATTTAGTAAAAGATTAAACTGAAATAAAATTTACATTTTATGTTGGACTATACCGTAAATTGGGAGCTGTTCCAAAAAAGTCCAAACTTTTCATTTTTTTTTTTATTTTTTGAGAAACTTAACTGGTTTCTTATACCATCCTCCTGGATATTGTTTATTGACTGCCCACAAACTGAAGCAATTAGTATTATCATTGATACTTGGGAGGCTGTGTGAGGCAAATTTTCTGGTGCGAATTTTTATAAATTTGTTTAGCCAACCTGTTTTTCCTTCACTTGGTAGACAATCAAGGATTTATTATCAACTGAAGAAAGAAGCAAGGTGGGCGTACATTTCTTTGTCCTTTTCATGCTGTTAGTTGTGATATATATATATACACACATTTGGTTACATTGTATGTGATTCTAGGACATAAAAATGCAACAGTGTATCTTATTGCAGACTTTGCCATGTAGCAAAGAGACAACAACACATAGTTCTAGTGATCTTGGATATAGAATTTGGGCTCAAGAATATTCCCTAATTTATAAGTGCAGTTCAATAAAGATTCAACATGCTCTAGATAATAATTTCAATGGTGCAAAATGTCAGTAGCCTCTGATCATCAGTCGTAATGTGTATGCTGAATATTAAAATTTGGTGAAGGGGCTAGATCTTTGCCTGACGTTCATATATGTGCTAGGTGATTTACGATTTTGATAGTGCACCAATGTTCATTCTTATTTAGAGTGGATTACCTCATTGTATTTTGTTCTGACCTTGCAGCACTAGCAGCAGTCCTGTTCTGGAAGAACTTTCAGACTTATTCATTGGTACTTATCACATCAGTGCATCTTACTTGTTTCTATCTCTCGTTGATTTTCTTACTAACTTTATAATTGTATGTGGATGCAGTCAAAGAAGCTATTTCCAAATGCGTTTTATGCTGTCTTAAGGTATTAATCTTAAAGCTCTCGGTGTTTTTTGTTAACAAAAAAAGTTAATATCTTGAGCGACGCATTTTTTCTTTCGGATAAATTTTTGTATGATGCAGTGCTGCAATGTTGTTATTCTACTCATATGTGGTGATCTCTGGAGGGAACCCACCTCCAAAGAAGTTGAAGCTATCTGGCAGTCACCAATCATGATGAGACTGCTTAAAGGCCGTCTTAATAATATGAATGTTGGGGCCCTTGTATGATGTTGTATTTTGACTTGAACCAGATTTCAGGTGAATGAGCATTGTTTGTTTATCTATGCAAACTGCTGGTTAGCTACAAGTTGAGAATCCAACCGAAAAAACAAGCTAGAAGTTGAGAACACGTATTAGGCTATATAATGGGAGGTAGCCTTCTCTTTTCATATATTTTCTGAGAATTTGACCATATATTGTTTTCTATGGTTTGTGGGAAGTGACATTAATGGCAATTTACTGTGAAAAATAGAAATGTTTTCTTATAGCAATAATGCTACAGCTGACTAAATGAATGGTTTAGCCAAATTTGATATGCATCACCTTTTTTTTGTTTTTTTGGGTTCAATGAACTCGCTGAAATTTTCTAAGCTTGTTCATTGACCAACTTTTTTCTAGTCAGACTAGGGGTTAGATGTCCCAGCCTGATTATTTTTTGAATTCTCTTTTCTTCGGTTGAGCCAAGGCTGGTGATTGTGATTGTGTTCTTATACCAAGCTTAATACCTGCTGATTCGATTTTAGGGTTCTTTCTGTGCAGATATTAGGTGGGTTCATTTAGTCTTTGAATTATATCCTTTTTTTTTTATTAGTCAAAGGATGAAGAAATTTTCATGGCTGAAATTGGGCTCTGAAGTTAAATTCCAGGCCCATCTCCAAAACACTTGCATAGCTCTTCAAAAATCGGGGCTTCTCAACTCGATGCTTGTGGGCCCTTTCTCTATCGTTTCAACTTAGGACAGCCCAATAATGAGTAGCTCCGATAAAAGACGAACGAAAAAAAAAAAGACAGAGGGAGAGAGAGAGAGAGTAAAACTTATTCACATCTAATTTTATTGTTATTTTTATTATTTTTTCTATTGGAAGCCTAAAAACATCGGGATATAATAGTAAACAATATTTTCCAAGAAAATGTTATTTTTTTAAATAACAAAAATATTATTTTATTTATAATTGTTGTTGTATTTTAATTATTTGTTCATTTTTAATAATCCCTTAATATTTTTTTTATTCTATATTTTGGCTTTGCGGCAACTTTTCAAAAGCAAACAGCAAAAAGTAGTAAAAGACGCAAACCGAATTTTGAAGCAAATTTTGTCAATATGTAATAGTTAAAAAAAACTATTTCAAAAAATATTTTATTATAAATTATTTTACAATTAAAAATTAAAAAAAAAAGACATGATGGAAAAAATAATCATGAAATTAAAATTGAAAATTTTTATTTTTTATTATGATAATTTTACTAAATATAACATCATATCATGAAGTTAAAATTGTTTTTTTTTCTTTTTTTTTTTTTTTTTTTTTTAATCTTTCTTCTCTCTTCCTTTCCATTTTTCTCCCCCGAACCGATGACGGTGGAGAATAAATCTATTCTACTGCGACGACAATTAGATCCAAATCAGTCACTACTGACATGGGAAAGAGATTGCAACGATGAATTTGGCTCTAATTGCTATTGCAAGACAATTGGATTCCAACAATTAAAATCATCAAATTAACAATTTCCACGTCTCATATTATTAATTAGAAGAGGTGTTAACTAGCTTAGTTTAACGACACTTGTGCCTTGCCCAAAGGCATCTACTTGGATTTGAATCATCCTTGCACTTCGCTCTCTCAAAGAAGTGCATGTCAGGTTGTAAATTTCATATTAATTATGTATTGGAGTTCGACTTGTAATATTCATATCATTTTTAATTTATAATTTTTTTGGAATATAATTATAAAATTTAATAAATCAAAATAAATAATATTTTATAAATTAATGTAAACCATGACACATAAATACAATCAACTTTTCAGCGAACCTTTTTATTTGACAAAAATAAATAAATAATGATGTAATTGCCAAATATAAAAGATATCAGTCACCCGAAATATGGGTCAAAAAACTAATTTCTTTTGCTTGCATGTTAATTTCTTCTAAATGTTTTAACACAAATTCCTCTTCTTCATTAGTTTCAACTTGGAATTCATGTGGCTTTAAATTAAACTAGAATCAAACTTGCGTTGCGTTGTAGGACTATTTTTTTATTTTTAAAATATATTTTAAAAATAAGAAAAGTGAAATTTTTATATGGATAATAACATATAGATAAATATAAGTGTATTTTTTTTAATACAAATTATAACTTAATTATTTATAAATATAGTTTTATTAAATTAAAATATTAAATAATATTTGTATTAATATAATATATATTAAATAATTAATTAAATATTTTTTTTATATATCTCAAGGAAAATCAGGCAAAATACTCTAAACCCAATCTCGATTTAACCCAAATTATTCAAAAAAAATAAAACTTAACATAATCTTTATTTTAAAAAATCACATCGATTGAATTGTGACGAATTAAAACCTATCAAATATAAATTATTTTGTTATGTCAACATCCATTAACTTTTTCTTTACAAAATTTATCTAATAAATAAAATTTTGAAAAATAAAGAAAATGACAAAAAAAAAAAGAAACCAAATAGGATGATACGTGAATTTATTAAATTAAGATATTAAATAATATTTTTAATAAAATGCATATATAAATATATAATTAAATAATTAATATATTTTTTCATATATACCAAAACCGAGGGTTAATATATAAAACCTTACTCTTACCCAAATTCGATTAAAAAAAAAAACTCAACTCAAATTATTTCCAATTAAAAAAAAAGCACTCTAATTAAATCAGGTGAACCGAAACCCATCAGATATGAGTATTGTGTCATCTCCATCTCAATTGACTTTTTTACTACAAAATCTAATAAAAAATAAAAGTAAAAAAGATTAAAAAAAAAGAAAAAGGAAACCAAAAAAAGCAAAATCTTAAAAAAAACCAAAGAAAATGAAAAAAAATAAAAAATGAAGTATTACGTGGACACCCGAGGCATGACAAAATACCTTAAATCTATTTTCAATCCGACTTTATTTTTAAAAAAATCCAATCTCAATTTCAAAAAACTACTCACCTATATTAGATTGTTGCGAACCAAAACCAATCAAATATGAATTATTTGATCTTCCTTACCTATATTAACTTTTTTTAACAAAATTTATCTAATAAAAAATAAAATTAAAAAATAAAAAATAAAGTAAAAAAGGGAAGAAGGATAAAGTGCTACATGAACATCCTCTCATTTCGCATTCTCTACAAAATTAAGTAAATAGATATGAGATCTTTGTTTAAACCTTTTTCTTTCATTCACTTAAAAATATTATTTGAAATAGTTTAAGTTATACGACGCAATATATTTGTAACATTATAAAATCACTAGAAAAATTACCTAATTATACTTTGGTTACAAATTTTTTTTAGTTTGATGAAATATAAATTATATAATTTTTTATTTAATAATAAAAAATAAATATTTTTTAGTATTTTATTGGTTTTTTATTTTTTATTTTGTAAGATATAATCTTTTAAAAAATAAATTAATAATTGATACTTAAACTGTCACTCAATTGTAATTGGACAAGTATCGACATCTACTTTAAATAAGGAATATTACTTTAAAAAATTATATAAATTAAATCAAAACTCTATAATACATACATGATAATCCAATTTATCGATACAATATTTACCTATAACCAATATTGATCAATCATTAAATTCAAACCCATTTATCTATGTAATCAAAGCCTACTAATATTATAACCTATTCAACTTAATTTTTTAAGAAAAAAAAAACAATAACTTTAATGTAATAGAGAGGTGTTATAGTAATTTTGGCCAAAATAGTTGTCATAACATATAAATCCATAAATCTATAGCTAGACTTAATAAGAGAAGCTGTCGTTAATTTTTTTTTTGTCTAGATATGATTGGTCACTTAGTTAAATTTGTCCCATTTAAAAAATAAATCCTAAACTTGACTTGAGTATTTGTAAGAGCTAGATTTATGTCTACAAAATCATAACTAGATTTGGGAGTAAAGTTACGTGTGAAAAAGATTATAACACTCCCACATCACCTACCCAAAAAATGGTACCAATTTGATTTTATATTATCAAAAAGCCTAAAAAAACTCACCAAATAATTTAATACAAAAAATTATTCCTAAATTACTCCAAAATATTGATAATAATTCAAGAGCATCCCCCTCACCTCATAAGTATTCAACAAGAGTATTTTTCATGCTTTAAAGAGGTTTTCTCATTGGATTCATTTAATTTTTGTAAAAAAAAAAAAATTATTTGTGATAACTAAAATTTTTGTGAGAATCTTGATATTGAAAATCTTTCTAAATTCTCCAATATATTGATAAAATTTAGAAAAAATTTCTCACATAGAAATTTATATAGAGATTGTTATTTACAACGTTCTTAGTAATTCCATCATTGAAGATTCAAAATCTAACTTTGTAAAAAAAAACTCTTTATTTTTAGAAATATCTTTCAATATGTTGAAAATAGTTTCTGCTAGAAATTATACTCGAATATGTTGGTAGGATTTTATAAAAATTATTTCTTTTCTAAAAATTAATTTTTATATTTAAAAATCATAAGGTTTTCCAATATGTTGGTAAAACCTTATTTTGAAAACCAAATTAAGTTCAAATATGTTGGTAAGGTTTTATTGAAACTATTTTTCTCTGGAAATTTGTTTTTTATAAAAAATTAATAAAGTTCTTCAATATGTTGATAAAACCTTATTTTAAAAATCAAATTACCTTCCAATATAATGGTAAGGCTTTTTATTTTACTAAAACAATTTATTACAAATTTGAATCTTCCAATATATTAATAAGATTCTTTTTATTTAAATATTTATTTTAAAAAAATTTGAACCCTCCAATATGTTGGTAAGGTTCTTTTTATTTAATTTTTAAAATGTTATTTTCCTTTTTTTTCTTTTTTTTTAAAAAATATTTACAAATTAATAAATACATAAATATCCAAATAAATAAAACAAACAAACAAACAAACAAATAAATAAATAGACAATTATGATAAAATACAAAGATAACTAAAACTTAAGAAAAAGACAAATAAAAAATAAATACCAAACATTGGACTACAAACAAATGTCAATCCCTTTTTACTTTTCCTGCTTCTTCACATCATTGTCTTCTTTCTTATTTTTCTACAAAATAATTTATGGCTTCACTAGTGCCCCTCTCCTATGGTGATTGCTTTTCTTTCTAGTTTAAACAAAAATAAAAAAGAAATCTAAAAAATATATACCCGAAATCTTTAAAAATTTTACTGCCAAAACTTTTTGTTGAATACCTCTTTTTTTTGTTTTTTCTCAACCCTTTTCTCCAACATAAAACTCTCAAAAGAAAATCCTAATTATCTAAACCCAAAACACCAGAAAAGATTATAAAAAAAACTCATAATTTTTTTACTTTTTCTCTCTTGATTTTTTCTAATTGATTCTTGATTATTTCTAATTGATCCTAATGGGGCCTTTAATCCCAATTACATCTGAAAAAGGACTTTTCTTAGTTTATATCTCATAATCAACGTCAATCTTAGATTTTTAATCTAAATACACCTTTCAAACCAATT